ATCGCTCATAGTGTAGCATGCTCCTCCCCCTTTATAGCACAAGCGAAGTGCCACGCAGTTCGATTGCACCGGCAGGCTGGCAGATTGCTGGCACCGCATACCCGCGGCCTAACAATCTACCCCCCAGCATCTTACAACCTCAACTGCGCAGCATGCTGTTGCTGGGGGTTGAACCCGTGGCCTTGGCTCTGATACCACTTGTGGATTGTTGTGCTTACCGCTACACTAAAAGCAATCACTGCTAGTGCAGCACGCTCCTCCCCCTTTATAGCACAAGCGAAGCGCCACGCGGTTTGATTGCACTGGTAGGTTGGCAAATTGCTGGCATCGCATACCCGCGGCCCGACACAGGCAGACCCCGAGGACTTCAATGATGTATCGAACGGGCGGAAGGAGGGTCTCTATACACGATAGGCTCTCCTTTAGGGTGGAATATAGTGAGGAGGAATCCTTTGCGGCTGTTCCTTCCCACTTTCGCAATGCGCGTAGGGGAGATATCAAGGACGAGATCAATGCAAATCGGCAGGCCCGCAGGGATCGCCGATCTCCTCCGCATGCCCAAACAGGTCACAATAACGACGACCTCAGAAGGATACTGAACGAGCTCAGGAGGGAGTTGGACAGCATGGTTAACCTCAACCATGATGTGAGGATTCCCGAGCCATTCATTCGCCAGATCATGGATGCCCCGTTGCCGCGAGGATATAGGCCTTGCAATATTGAGGCTTACCGAGGAAAAATCGATCCCCAACACCATGTCTCCAGGTATGTGGCCTACATGCTGATGATGGGGTATGATGATGCCATCAAATGTAGAGATTCTCTGTGACCTTAGACATACCAGCTCGGGAATGGTATGATTCTTTAAGGGGTTTTTACTTGGATATTACTAATTTTGAACCAATTACCCAAAAAGTGACCACTTTTAAAAAGGGACAAAAAAGTGATCAAGAAGGTCATATATGTGCAATTAGAAAACATGATGTAACTGCAAAAATTTTATGTCACTGCGTGTTCGTTTTTTTGTAACTACAACCACCACCCATGTCATTACAACCACCGCCTGTGTCACTGTAGCCACCGCATGTGTCACTGTAGCCACCGCCTATGTCACTGTAGCCACCGCCCGTGTCACTGTAGCCACCGCCCGTGTCACTGTAGCCACCGCCGACACCACCACCACCACTACTGACGCCACCGCCGGAACAACCGCCACTGTCAGCACCGCCGTCGGAACAACCGCCATTGCCGGCGCCGCCAAAGTGACTCCGGCCAAAGTGACTCCGACCAAAGTGACTCTGTCCAAAGTGACTTCGCCGCCACAGTGACTGCCCCACCGACCACAGTGACTGCGCCGCCGGCCACAGTGACTGCCCACCTACCACAGTGACTGTTCGCCGTCTCCGGTGGTTTCGCCTGCCCCATCTCTCCCATGCTCTCTCAGCCCCGTTTCTAGCCTACCTTTCCCTAGCGCCACCGCCTACCATCACCGCAAAACGCCAGCGGCAACGACCACCCCACCCCCAGCCACCTCCCTAGCCCCAAGCCGCATACATCCCCATACCCTATGCCCCCTCCCCATCCCCCAAGCCCCTTTCCTAGCCTTGTCCATCCCCACCAACCAGACTAGATCCAGCCCCCTCCTCGTCCCTATCCATCCCCACCAACCAGACCAGATCCAGCCCCCTCCCATGCCCCAACTCGCCTGAGCCTGACACCCCCGCATCAACAACGACGAAGCCGCTACCCCAAAATCGACGACCATCACCACCCTTACAGTCCTGAACAACCCCGCCACCATTCCATCGCTGGCCTTCGCAACTATTTTTGCTCCGTCACTGACCCCTAACTTGAAATCCTAGATGTCGGTGTGAAGAAAACAATGGAGCGACGGAGAAAGAGAGAGCAGCGGAGAAAGAGAGAGATGGAGGAAGGGAGCTGCAGAGGTGACGATGGATCCATTCGCCGGAGTTGAAATCGCTGGTCAAGAGATGTCAATCGCTGGTCTGTAGATGAGAGGAAGGAGATGAAATCCATGGTCTGGTGCGATTGTGCGAGACGAGAAAGAACGGCCAGTTTTTGGGAAAAAATAGAATTGGTCATACTTTTGGAATGTAAAAGGCTACAGGTCATAAACGGGCCATTTTTTCATTCTTTAATAGATGGAAGGATCTGGAATTTCTGAGAGTTGGCTCATGCATTCGTAGCACGGTTTGCCAGCTCTAAGGATTGCAAGAAGAACTTCTCTCACCTCTTGAGGGTCAGACAGGGACCCCATAAGACCTTGGTCGATTTCCTAGCTCGGTGGAGGGATGAATCAGTGAAGGTGGACGACCTAGTTAACAAATCTGATGTTGCCCTCCTCATCAATGCCCTAAGGTCGGGTGAATTGTATAAGGATTTTATATGAAACCCTTCGACCTCACACAAGGAGGCGCTACTGTGAGCCAATGTGCAGGTTGAGGTGGAAGGGGCCAAAAAGCAAAAGAGAGAGGAAGAGATCGGAAAGCATCAACCTGAGGATGGGAAGAAAAAGACCTCAGAGAAGGAAACCGATGACCAAGACAAAGAAGGTGGGTCCAAAAGAAAGAAGAAAGGATAGGGAAAGGGTAAGTCGGGCATCCCCGAGGTACCTTTATCCAGTCAATCAGAATTCTCACCTTTGACACGTCAAGTTAGCACGGTCCTGAATTATGCGGCCAAGTTAACAATTCTTGATGGTTGTAATGTTGTTAACAACCAGGCCGCTCGAGGTAAGTATTGCAAGCTCCACAAGAGCGATACTCATGAAACTGATGACTGCTATGTATTAAAAAAATCGTAGAAAGGCTCATCCGTGAAGGACAGTTGGATCGGTTCGTGAAGAAAAGTCAGAAGGGTCAACCCCCTCAAAAGAAGAACACCTGGAACAAAGAGAAAGACGAGCCGACCTCAACCTCCAAAAAGAGGGAGGTCGGAGCCCAGTTCGAGGATGACGACGAAGGGGAGGATTCAGGTCGACGAAAATGTCCACATGTCAACCAGATTACGACCATGGCCCAATTACAGAATTATAATTAAAGCCCATAAACGGGATCAAGCCCTCGATGGGATTAGCCCGTAACAGGATCAGCCCATAAACGGGATTAATATCAACTAGCCGCTAGACCTAACTAAGAATCAGGCCCACGAGAGGAACCCACAACCAGGTCAGGCTGGACAGCAGACCTCGAGCCTGGGCAGAGTTCTAGTGAGGTCGGGGTATTCTTAGGTCTTATGTGGCATACTATCATTTGTGCATAGCTATCTGGCAGCAGGCAGGAATAAACGGAAGGAACGTGGATTTAAAGGAACAACGTCCAAGGCGTTACATGAATCCTATTCGATTAACATGTGATTAATAGCATTTATTGTATCAATTTCCTCCTAGAATACTAGTTCCTGGAGTCTATAAATACTTCTTGTATTTGTCCTACCAAAGGACCGGGTTAATAATACTTCCTTACGCTGCCAAAATTCATCTGCTCTCATAGATATAGCTCTCGTAGTTGGATTAAACTCCATCATGTTCAATTCCCAGAGGTTTGGATTTTTTTATATTTTAAACGCTACCAGAAGGCTGATGACGGGTGAATGATGTGGAGTGGGTGATGTGACGAAATTGGACAACAAGAAAGAAAATACTGTCATGTGGGAAATAAGTTTAAAAGTGAGACCATCCACTGTACAATTAGTTGTACCGTGCACAAGGTATAGTCGGGTATTTTATATTAATAGAAATGAGTATATAGTTTAAAAGAAATAAGTAATGACATGAAATTATTGTACTGGTAGCACAATTGAATATTAGAGGCATGTAACTTAGTATCATGATATACGTATAATATATTTGGTACAAATTAACGTATTCATTTAACTATATTATCATTGTATTATCATCAAAATATTTATTTTGCTAATACTATAATTCAATACTAATACTCATTTTTTTAACGATATACTCGTTTCATTTTCATTTCATTTTCATTTACCCCAGTGCCGCAAAGGCTCCCACCTACGGTGGGGTAAGGGGGGATCGGATGTACGCAGTCTTACCCCTGTACTAAAGCACAGAAAGACTATTTCCTGATGACCCGTTTCTTTTCATTTAACGATATACTTGTTTGTACTGTATGCAAAGTACAACCAATTGTACATTATATTTTGCCAATAAAAGTGTTAGTTGGGAAATAAGTTTAAAGGGGGTGACCTCAATATGAATTTATGGAGTTTAAAACTCCGTCAGAACTTAGGTGTCTCCGATTTGGATTTCGGTGAAATCTATAGAGATAAGGGTGTTCTCAGATGTTCCATGAATTTCTATTATACTTATTTGAATGAGTTTTAATAGATTTCTACATACAAAACATTCTTCACAAATCTTGTAGACAGCCAATTTAGGATTTCAAAATCCATTACCTTTTAAAATCTGTCAAAATCAAAGTAAGTTTATTTTTTTTGATGAAATTCATACCAATAATCTGTAATTTTAGTGGTTCTACAATAATAATCTTTACCAAAGATGTCTATACAAACAATTCATACTCATAAACATGTCTACATAGATAGATTAGATTAATCTTTTTATATTAAATATATAAGCATATAGTAGCGACTTTGTTCTCTATTGTCATTAATTTGAGTTTAATGTTTTTATGTCATTACTATATTTTTAAAAGGTACTCCCTCCGTTGCTAAATAAACTTCCAACTTTCCTTTTCCGTCCGTTCCAATTAAAACTTCCACTTTCTCTTTTTGTTAAATAATTTGTGGTTCACAACATTTCTTACACATTTCTCTCTCCTCTGCACAACTCTCCACCACACAATATCCACTATCTTAAACTTTGTGCCAAACCCATTTGGAAGTTAAAATGGGAACGGAGGTAGTATATAAAATTGTGTGGATGAACTTCTACTCATGGAAGGTTTAGTCTATTTATGTAGACGCATTTACGAGTTTGAATTATTTATATTGAACCACCGAAAGTAGGGATTGTTAGCGTGAATTTCACCTTTTTTTTGTTTGTTTTTGTTTTGTTTTATACTTCACCAACGGCAACCATTGTTCATCTGAAATCCATTACGGCAATCACACTCAATCTACTGCACCAACGGCAACCAAGACCGATTAAATCCCCAAAAAACAACGATTGAATTTGAGCGGGCTTTTCAGTGGTTAGCTGATGTGTAGTTCTTGGAAGCTAGAATGGTTGGCTGTGCTGATATGGGTTTTAGGGTTGGCTATTGGGGATGCTTTTAAGGTGCCGTTTAGAGTGAGTGATGTTCTTCCGGTATTACCCCATCGAATTTCATGGCCGGTCCTTCACAATTTCCACAGTGCTGTGGATTTGATGCCCACCTTTGTCGGGTCGCTTTCTCCAAACAACGGGTCTATACGGTGGAAAGGCTCCTGTTTTTTGGACAATGAAGCCAGGGTTGACTTCACTGACTCCGGTGACCGTGGCATCGGTGGCGCCACAGTCTATCTTTCGGTTAGTGTCTTTGAATTCGTTTACATAATGTTATCTGCATGCTTAATAGAATCTGTTGTTGGGCAGGCGGAAAATCTGAATAGAATTATTTAGTGCGACAGTTAAATGTTGAAATGCATATGCTTTTGTGGTTTTAAATCATCTCAAAATTCAGCATATCCTGAAAGGCTGTTTGGTAGTTTCATACGCCTTATTCTAATAATACCAAAGCACTCACAATAGTAATATTAATGAAAATAGGTAGCTTTTCACTTGCTTAATTTGGTTGAAGTTTATTTTAGCACCCCCTCGAAAAATTCAACATATGCAGCCAAATATTCTTTATTCAACGAACATGAAGAGCCTATTTGACAATATTGAAATTGGCTAAATTGGCTAATATTGATGAGATTCTGGTTGAAGCCGCTAAACTGGCGGAATAATGAAAAAATATTTAGAATATACTTTGTTAATAACATAAAGAAGAAATATATGAAAAACAACTAAAATAATCATCTTCACCAAATTTAACCAATTCAATTAGAAAAGTAACTCCGACTTTACTTATTTTAGTTATGACGCAATTCAACTCTCGAAATAAAAGATTACTTGTTTGGCAAAAATGTTGGCCGATAAGGCCAAAAAGGGGTTACCGAATGAGCCCTAAATGTCAGATCCTTTAAACTTGTTGTCTCCATACATGCTTTTGAGCTTTGTTTAAGAAGTACATATAAAATAATTAAAAGACGACAGAAAGTTTTGGCCCCAATCAATGCTTATGGGGTGTGGTGTTTGTTGTCTCCAAAAGAACCGTTCTACATTGCCTATATTAAGTCAGAAAATAGTGGACAGTTAGAATACTTAGAAAAGGAGCAATATTTTTGGGGTGTTGTGCTTTCTCAAAATTACAAGTTGTATGATGAACAAAAAAGATGCTTTTGGGATGGAGGAAGTGCTTTTGAGTATGTTTTTGTGCTGGGTGGGGGAGGGGGTCAAACCTTATTTTGTGCTTGCTGTTCAATGGTAGAATCTTTAATATGTGTTTATCTTCTACTTTATGGTATATAAATGGATCATCATCATCATCATCATCATCATCTACGGTCTTACTTTATACTCCCTTCGGACCTTAGACATTTTTAAAAGGAGTGAGTGATCCTTTTTATTAGGCACTGTTTATTTCTATGATGTATTTATTTATTTTCTTTCATTTTTTGCCTCAAATAAATATTGATTTCATGAATACCTTTTAAAATTATACATTTAAAGGGCATTATAAAAAGGTTAAAACTGGGTTATCACGAAATCAATTTAAACTGAAGAAAGAAAATTAACTACTTTCCTTGGGTTGCGTCATTTTTCTAGGATTATACTTTTTTATAGAAACTCTTACTTCATACATATCTAAACACTTCACCTGTCCCTTAAAACTATGCTATTACAGTTTATGAAGTTCGATTGATGATAAAGTTAAACCCTTCTTTGACAATATTTAAATTTAAATTAGTACTAATATTATAACTACGTAGTACTATTGTATATGTTTGGAAACGATGCTAAGTGTTATATTGAATTAGAAAAAACTGAGTTCGAATTTGATAAAAAGTGACTACGTAATACTCGATATTAGAGAACAAAAACGATTTTAGTGGGACAAAGGGAGTATTTTAATTCAGATATATTTACATTTTTCTGACAGACTGCAGCAGCACACAGCTGGACGTGTATGGATCTATATGTATTTGCTACTCCTTACCGGATAACCTGGGATTACTATTTTGAATCCCGAGAACACACACTCGTGCTTCAATCATGGGAGGACCCTGCAGAGATGGAATATGTAGGTTCATAGAATCTGCCTATTTGTCGCATCAGTTATTATAATAACTTCACAAGTTTAATGCTAAACTTTCAAACAGGTCAAACAACATGGGATCTCTGTATTTCTCATGCCTTCAGGGATGCTTGGAACTTTGCTTTCCATGATGGATGTATTGCCTCTATTTTCCAACACTGCTTGGGGTCAAAATGCCAACTTAGCTTTTTTGAAGAAACATATGGGAGCGACATTTGAAAAGCGTCCTCATCCATGGCAGGCTATGATTAACCCGGACGACATTCACTCAGGTGATTTCATTGCCATCTCAAAAATCCGTGGCCGGTGGGGTGGTTTTGAAACACTTGAGAAATGGGTAACTGGAGCATTTGCGGGTCATACAGCAGTTTGTTTGAAAGATGAGTATGGCAAACTTTGGGTTGGTGAATCAGGATATGAAAATGAAAAGGTGTGTCGAAATTATGTTTTCGTCTTTAATTTCCAAGGTTACTAATTTTCTGAAAACCTTATAAATAAAGTTGCATACCTGAAGTTGTTACCTAAGTTTCTTTTTTTAAAGGCTTACCCCACCTATTTTTCTTAAGGGGAGATGCAGATTGTAATACTGTAGTACATTAGATCTGTCTTTGTACTTTGTATAGATCTCATTATTTGGGAAGTAATTAAATAAATAGTGGAGTTGATATAACTAGCTTTCTAAAATTTAGGCTGACTTTGAGGACTTGATACTGTTTTGATCTCTCCATTTCAAAATCACTTTTGCACAAAAGTGAAAAGTATGAAGAATTCTATTGAAGATTACAGAAAAAGTGAGGAAGGACCCTGAATTTTAGCATTAACCCATAGAAGTGTTTCTTACAGAGCATTGTGATTTTTCAATAAACAAATGTAAATTTTGGTCTTTGGCAGGAGAAATATAATTAGTTTGCTACAATTGGAAACATGAAAGTTTCCAATTGTACTGATAATATTTTCTTATGAACTTGAAAGCACAAGTTATTCTATTTTCTTTTTAGTAAGTTACGATGAGGTATGAATGTTTGACTTTTTGTTTGTCTATAAAGTTTGGTTTTGAAATTTGAATAAATAATGTAGAACATACTACCTCCGTCCCTTAAACAATGTCCTAGTTTGACTTCACACATATTAAGGAAATGAATTTGACCTCACACTGTAGCGACACTGTTTTGCATTGTTTGACTCTGTTTTGCACGGTTTGACACTGTTTGGTATAGATTTGTTTACCAAATGAGGAAGTTAAGGAAGTAGGACTTTAATTTATGTCATGGACATACTCATTTTTTGTTGTCAGTATACACCTCCCCATTAGTGAGTAAGGATCGTGTAAAAATGAACTTAAATCCGGAAACACAAGTTTGATTAAAGAAGAGAGAGCTGAAGTTCCATCACTGGATGAAACAAGAAAGGAAGATGGAATCCTGACTTTGTTTTTATACACTTTTACTTCTGTTGCATTTCCAATCTTCATCAAATACGAGGAGAAGGCGGGGTCTTCGCGGGCTATTGTTTCAGGGAAAGTAGGACATTGTTTCAGGGACAGAGGGAGTATTACACACCTAGGACTTGCTATAAAAATGCCAAAAACTATCTTTTAGTTCTAAATGATTGCTTATTCTGACTCATCACTCGTTGTTAAACATACCACAGGGTGAAGAGATAATTGCAATCACTCCATGGGATGAATGGTGGGAATTTACCCTCAAGGACAGTTCAAACCCGCAAGTAGCATTATTACCACTACACCCAGAAGTGCGTGCTAGATTCAATTCCACTGCAGCATGGGGTTATGTTCGAAGAATGTCGGGAAAACCATATGGTTACCATAATATGATATTTAGTTGGATTGACACTGTCACTGATAACTACCCTCCTCCCCTTGATGCTCACTTGGTATTCCCCTTTTGATGTCCAAATATTGGATTTATATTCTGTGTAGTTCTTTGCTTTGGTTATTTACGTATTGTGTGCATATTTATACACCGTCTGATTCTAAGAAAACATGTAAATCGAAAAGGGTTTCTTCATTTTCACGTGTTTGACAATTAGGTGCCCAAAATCATCTCTTTATTCGTTCAACTTCAGGAAAAGAGGAAGCCATTTTCTTGAGCCAGTTCAGTTTTTCTCCTCAAAACTTTGTGGAACATTATATTAATAGTAAAATTATCAGATTGAGTATTGATGCTTACTCCATATGTTTTAGGTATATATACATCCTTAATGTTTGAAAAAGTGGGGGATGGAAGCAAGACACCCAGAACATCAATAAAATAGCTTAATTTGCCCCCACTTTTGTCAAGAATTTACAGAACAGGTAAATTGGTCAACTAAATATTGATTTTGTTTCCAGGTGATCTCTGTCATGTCTATGTGGACTAGAATGCAGCCAGCATATGCTGCAAATATGTGGAATGAGGCATTGAACAAGAGGCTTGGAACTGAGGTGAATGTGTGCTTACTCGCTTAGATTGAAAGAGAGAAATGTACTTTTGTTGATGTATTATTTTTCAAAGAATACAGAAACTATTTACATATATGTTGATTTCCATTTGCAGGATCTAGACTTGTATGAAATTCTTGCCGAGACTGAAAGACGTGGTATAACCTTTGATCAATTGCTTACCATTCCAGAACAGGATGACTGGGTGTATAGCGATGGGAAATCGACCACCTGTGTTGCCTTCATTCTGGCAATGTATAAAGAAGCTGGAGTGTTTGGCTCTATCTCTGACTCCATTCAAGTAACTGAGTTCACTGTGAGTTATCCTCTTCATTTTTGGATTTTTTATTAAGTTATGAGGTTTAAAATAAGCTCTCCCAAACACACCAAGAGGAATAAGGCTAGGCTCAAGTAGGGAAAAACCTGCACACGCAAAGAAAGCGTGGCACTTAGACAGGGATTAGTCACTGACCAGGCGAGGTGATGGTTAAGGTTTCTCTTGCCACAATGTTTCCGGGTAAAGCTGACTCATCAATGGTCCTCATTACATACATTGGGGGCATTTGGCAGTTTGCACATCAATTTTTTTTGCACAGGATTTTATTTCATTTTTAAAGTCCAGTGCAATGTTTTTCTATCATCGCATTATTCTAACCCTCATCCAAATGTAAATTGTTTTACAAGATAAAGTGCATTTTTTTCAAAAGTGGCAAACTTTACATTAAACAGTCATACACTTTACATTACAAAACACCAAACAATGTAAACCTGTGCTGGGTTATTTCTCATAATACTGGATGCACCTTCACTGGATTCTTATGATTCCAGATTAGGGATGCCTACATGCTGAAAATTTATGAGAATAACCAAACACGTCTTCCCAGCTGGTGCAACCGTGGAGATGATAAGCTCCCCTTCTGCCAGATTCTCGGGGAGTATTGGATGGAACTTCCACAGTACAACACATTAGAGCCATATGCCAACATGAATGAGAACTGCCCTTCTTTACCCCCAATTTATGACAGGCCTCTCCGTTGCTAATAAATGTAATCTCCCTCCCTCTCACCCTCTCACTAAAAAAATGTGGTTTTTGTGCTTGTTAGATTTCACCAAACGCTTGTTTGGTTGGTTTTCCACGCCTGTACATAAGTGTAATTAATCAGATTAATAGAAATGGTCCTTGTGAAAGACGACGGTGGTCGGTGTACTTGGGTTGTCAACAATAATAAGTGAATGCAGTGGAATTTGTGTCATTTGCTAAGCAGATTATGAGCCCCTTGGTCGGAGTAAATTCGGTTGAAATTACTGAATGAGCACAGTTTTCTACGGAGTATTTGCAAATGTATACACTTTTTTATTACAAAATGTTACTCCCTCTTTTCCACCAATGGAACAAGATGGAGTGACACACAAATAAAAAAAATGTTTATGTGGTTGATATTAAATTGATAAATTAAGAATAAATTAAGAATGATTTAAAGTCACACCAACTTTATCAAATTTGGAATGAGTCAATCGTAGTAGGATGGATCGAAAAAGTAAAATAAGACAATCTTAACATGAGTATATGCTACTTATTGCTACAAGCCTACAAATGTAACATGCATCATTGAATCAGTCTTCATATAAAAACAATCTTTCTTCATATTAATATAGAGTACTAATAACAACAACAATAATAATACCCCATAATAATAATAATTCTATGTATCTGAATAGTTTAGTTAAATTTGAATGATTTAAATTGATTAGGTTACTGTTAAGTCTAACCTGATCTAAATTGGTTTAGTATTATTAGTTAATATAGTCTTAATTGAATTGTTGTGAACTATGATTAGTTTGGTGTGACGTAAATTGGTGTGGCCATGTTTGAAAATGTTTTCCCTTGGATTGATTTTATTGTTCTGTTTAAATTTGATCAGATTTGACCTGAAATTGAAATAAGTTCAAGTAAAAACACTAATGATGTTTTTGTTTCGACTTATTCATTCCTAGATCAAATCAGACTAGAGTTAAACACTTAAACATATAGAAATTGCTCTAAATAGGAGCAAAAACGTTTTGAAATTCCAAAATAGTAGTATCATGTTTTTTATTCCCTGAATATGAGTAATTTGCCAAGTTTGGAAAAAAATGTCATGTTTAAAGCCTAGTAATGCCAAAATTGACAAAAATTTACTCCTATTAGAGGTTTAAAAAACATGATAGTCCTATTTTGGAATTTCAATTTTTTTTTACTCCTATTTAGGGAATTCTCTCTTAAACATATCAAGTCTGGATAGTTGTAACTAGGGATGGATTCGGTTCGGGCCACCCGGCCCGTGACCCGGCCCGGCCCGGTACTGTGCGGGCCCGGGACCGGCCCGGTCGGGCGGTCCGGGACCGGGTATGGACCCGAACCGGTGGGAAGGGGCGGGGCGGGCTCGGTGCTGGATTATTGTGACCCGGCCCGGCCGAGTCGGGCCTGGGCCCGGGTCCGGTCTAATTAAAAAAAAAAAATTGTTTGGGCTCTTGGGCTACTAGCCGTTGGGGGTGGGGCTGGGGACAACCCAAACGGCTATATAGCCGTTGGGTGGGGTAAAGGGGGGGTCCAGGGGGGTTGGCTAGTGGGGGGGGTGGGGGGGGGTGGGGTGTAAAAAAACCTATAAATACTCCTAATCTTAAACATTTTTTCATATCTCTTCTCCAATTCTTCCTAAATCCTATTCTTAACTCTCTACTCTCTAATTCTCTTATTCTCCATTCTCCAATATATTATATTTATTATTTATAGTTTATACTTTATATTAATTATCTACTTATATAAACTATAAATAGATATAAATAGTATTATATTACTTATATTTGTTATCTAATTATATATTACATATATATTTATTATATCTATTAATATAGTTGGAATTATATCTAATTAATTTGAAGTCATTCTATTACTCCCATCTGAAAGACCGAAAGTCCGAAAGAGGTACGAAATTATTCTATTATTTACACTTGTTTAATTACTAGTTAATTTGCTACATTTGACTCTTGTTTAATAGTTAGAATGTTAGATAAATAGTTAATTAGTTTTTTACAATTTTTTATTAATTGCTACATTTGACTCTAGTTTAAAAAATATGTTGTACACAAAACTAGTTAATTCACTACTTAATTTGCTATAACTCGAATTAATAGTTAGATAAATAGTTAATTAGTTTTTTACAATTTTTTATTAATTGCTACATTTGACTCTAGTTTAAAAAATATGTTGTACACAAAACTAGTTAATTCACTACTTAATTTGCTATAACTCGAATTAATAGTTAGATAAATAGTTAATTAGTTTTTTAGAATTTTTTATTAATTGCTACATTTGACTCTAGTTTAAAAAATATGTTGTACACAAAACTAGTTAATTCACTACTTAATTTGCTATAACTCGAATTAATAGTTAGATAAATAGTTAATTAGTTTTTTAGAATTTTTTATTAATTGCTACATTTGACTCTAGTTTAAAAAATATGTTGTACACAAAACTAGTTAATTCACTACTTAATTTGCTATAACTCGAATTAATAGTTAGATAAATAGTTAATTAGTTTTTTACAATTTTTTATTAATTGATACATTTGACTCTAGTTTAAAAAATATGTTGTACACAAAACTAGTTAATTCACTACTTAATTTGCTATAACTCGAATTAATAGTTAGATAAATAGTTAATTAGTTTTTTACAATTTTTTATTAATGGCTACATTTGACTCTAGTTTAAAAAATATGTTGTACACAAAACTAGTTAATTCACTACTTAATTTGCTATAACTCGAATTAATAGTTAGATAAATAGTTAATTAGTTTTTTCAATTTTTTATTAATTGCTACATTTGACTCTAGTTTAAAAAATATGTTGTACACAAAACTAGTTAATTCACTACTTAATTTGCTATAACTCGAATTAATAGTTAGATAAATAGTTAATTAGTTTTTTACAATTTTTTATTAATGGCTACATTTGACTCTAATTTAAAAAATATGTTGTACACAAAACTAGTTAATTCACTACTTAATTTGCTATAACTCGAATTAATAGTTAGATAAATAGTTAATTAGTTTTTTCAATTTTTTATTAATTGCTACATTTGACTCTAGTTTAAAAAATATGTTGTACACAAAACTAGTTAATTCACTACTTAATTTGCTATAACTCGAATTAATAGTTAGATAAATAGTTAATTAGTTTTTTACAATTTTTTATTAATCGCTACATTTTTTAGATGGATCGTCCTAGATATTCGGTTGATATGGGTAACCTCGAGCGCAACCGAACGAAAGAGCTTGCGAGGAAGAGATCCCGCAAAGGTAAATCACATATCGGCTCTTCATCTCAAAGTCAAGATGATTTTGATACGGGTTACGTAAGGAGGGATGGGGATGCGATGACCGACGAACAACTAGAACAAGAATTGCACCGACATAATTCCCGCTTTTTTCAAGACCAACCGAGGACCATTGACGAAGAAGAGCTCGATGATGAGGACGACGATGTGGAGGAAGCAATTCCGGAGAGCCACGACAAGGAGGAGGAGGAGGGTGGCGGCAGCCATGACGCCGACCAAGCAGCCTCATCCCAAACAGGTAAAAAAAAAGTAAATCTGAATTAATGGCTAATAATTTTTCTAAGTGGAAGGACCCGAACATCGGGAATTGGACCGCAACTTGCAATTGGTGCAAGAAAAACTATAGCTTGGGGATTTCCGGCGGATACGGATCCGCCACAAGACACCTTAAGTCCAAACACCCGGTGGAGTATGCAAAATTAGGCGGCGGAACGGGGAAGCAAACGCAAATATCGAGGTTTGCAAATTACCAACAAGCTTTTGGTAATTTCTCATACAATGATGCACAAAATTTGACAGGTATGGCTAACTTACTTGTTGAAGAAAATTTGCCTTATTTGTTTTATGAAAGTCTTGCTTTTCGTGATTATGCACAAACTTGTTTAAATCCGCAATATAGAGGTTATAGTCGCAAAACGGTTAAGAAAGAAATTTCAAGGCTTTATGGTGCGGAAAAGGTAAGGTTACAAAATTGTTTTGCAAACTTTGATGGACGTGTTACTGTATGTTCTAACATATGGGAGGATACTTATCATAATTTACATTATTTGGGTCTGACTGTACATTATATTGATAATGATTAGCATATGCATAGACGTGTTCTTGCTTTCCGTGAATTTAATGATCGTCACACCGCTGAACATATTTATATTTTGATTGAACGTATTTTAATTGAGTATAATTTAATTGATAAGGTGTTTACTATTGATTTTGATAATGCTACTAATAATACTGCTGCTATTCCTAGATTGCGTGAATTGTGTGGTTCTACTTCTTTGATGGGTAGATTTTTTCATCAACGATGTGCATGTCATGTTCTAAATTTATGTGTGCAAGATGGTCTAAAAGCGTTGGGAGCATCGTTGGAGGTAGTCAAGGGGGGGATTAGACGTATTTGGGGTAATGGACAACTTAGAAAAAAATGGCATGATTATTTGATAGAAAGAGGTGAGAGATATGTGGCTTTTCCAAAAGATTTGTCTATTCGTTGGAATAGTACCTATAAGTTAATTGGAGTTCTTCTTAGATATAAACAACATTTTCCTGCTTTTATGAAACAATATGATAACTATATTATAAACTCGGCTGAGATCGACACCTGTGAAAAAATTTGTAATGCTTTGATATATTTTAATAATGCAACTGAAACTTTTAGTCATGTTTATAAACCTACCTCAAACCAATTTATTCGTGAAGTTGTTAATCTCGCCGGTGCTTTTTCAAATTTTGAGAATGCTGATTATGTGAGTTATTTTGCTGGTTTTATGAAGGAAAAGTTTTTAAAATATTATTCACATATTCCGCATATTTATGGTATTGCATTTGTTCTCGATCCTCGTTTTAGACTTGGTTCTTTAGAAGAATGTTTGAATTATTATTATGCTGCTTTTTTTGGTCCATTGCCAATGTATGAGGACAACCCAATTGATCCGAAAAAAGAATACAACGAGGTTAGTGATATATTTTATGCATTATTCAATGAGTTTCATGCACAATATGGCAATGCGCCCCCTCCCCCGACACAAACATCATCTAAAGGAAAATCAATTTTCAAATCTACGTTTGCCAATCTTATTAAAAAACAAAATCAACTCCCGCTACACAACAAAGCACAATTAATGAGATTTCTTTGTATTTAACTTATGATGTTGATTTTGAAGAAGATGATGATTTTGACGTACTAAACTGGTG